CTATAAATTGAGCAACAGAAGGTCACTGAACTTTTTGGAATAAAGTTAAACTATAAATAAATGCTGAATACATACAGAGGGTGGTGGAATGCTCTAGATCCGTTTAAGCCTAACACTGCCTTACTGTTTTGTGTGAATGACATGGTTAAAAGTATTGATACATTTCTGCAGAATTGGCTGTAAAATCAGCTGTTATCAAAATGAAAGGTGGAGAATATTATATGTGATTTATGGCCTAAAAGGTTTTCTCACATTAAGGCTAATAATTTCGTAAATTGATGGTAATGCATTCAGTAGATAAGACATGATCCATTACCCTTTGTCTGCATAAGCAAAATATGGGGATTTTTAATAAAAGAAAAGAAAAATAGAGGCCCATGGAAAAAAATGGAGATAATGAGCCAAGACTTGAGGGCCACATGCCTCCTGGTGGTCTAGGAGTGAGAGGTAACACACAGAAGTGGGCGGGGCCACCTTTTTGCTCCCCTTTCCTTCCTTCCTTCCTTCCTTCCTTCCTTCCTTCCTTCCTTCCTTCCTTCCGAGTTCTGAACTGGTCACTTGAAAGGGGCTTTTGGAAATTGCATTAAATTGCGTAGATGGATGGACACTCCTGTTCTAAGCACTTAAATGTGCTTGGCCTAGGCTGCATACCTAAACCAATTTACTTGGGACTGGGCCCCATCCACTGAAAAGTATGTTTGTGTGTCTGCTATTGACTTTTTAATACAGTATATGAAAAATGTTGAATGTCCTCCAGCCAGTTTTAGGTGTTTTTTTGTTTGGTTTGGTTTTGTTTTTTGAGAGGAGAGTTTAGTCCATGCTCACACATCTTTCTTTTAAATGCTCACCTCTCTTAAAATCAGTAGGATTTCAAAAGAGCTCATTGGTTCAGTTGTAGAGTCTGGAAAGCTACTTTCACAATGAATGAATACAATGATATGCTGAAGCCATTCAGCAGTGAACCATGGTAGGGTGAAATGGCGAGACCCAGAGTATTCTGCTCCTATTGCTCAGTTATGGGTCACTTCAGCATGTCATTATAAAAATAAGTTTTCAAACTCTGGTACTGGTTATCTGATATCTTTAGATCAAAGGGTAAGAAAGAAATGGTTTAGAAAGAAATAATGTGTGAGTACAACTGGTTATGCCAAAAATATTGGACAGCCCTAGAAAATGACATGCCAAACTCCCAAATATTAGCAAAATCACAGGACAAAAAGAACTAGCACTTAAGAATATTTATCATATGGGCAATATTCCTCAAAAACCATTAATTTACTTAGTAAATAATGTTTATTCCCCCCTCTTTCCCCCCCGTAAAATCAAGGCATCTTGCAACAGGTTCTTTAATACATGAAAATATAAATGTGATGCATAATAAAAATGACTATAAAGCTGTGTACAAATGGCCTTTTGGGATTTTCAAAGTGAATTTTATTTCTTTCATAACAGCCCCTACCTAGCATCACTCTAGGAATTGTGGAGGCAGTGGGAGTGGCAAAGCAGCTACCAAAAACATGGTAGAGAAATTATGGAAAGAATTCTGCAAATTCTGTAAACAATTCTGTCTTCTGCTTCTTGGAAAACCAGAATATTTTTCAGGGGAAAAAAAGGGTTTCAGAGAAACTGTGGTTCAGTTTTTGTCATGTTTCATGTTGTAGTCCAGTGGTTTCCAGTCTTGTGTCCCCAGATGTTCTTGGACTATAATTCCCAGCAGCTTTCACCACTAGTTGTACTGCCCAGGATTTCTGTGACTCTAGTCCAAAAACCCTAAATTGGGAACCACTTGATTATTTTCTTCCCCAAGCCTTCAAAATGATACATTTTGGGAGTATCACTGTAAACAGATTTATGTGTGCTATATATACTTATAGCATACAGCCCTACATGGAAGCCTTGTAGTGGGTATGAATAAGCACACTGCTGTGTCCAGCTCTAGTAAAATGATGATGCTAGTGCTGTGCCATGACTGGCCCTCCAATTTCACTTTTGTTTCCTTCAGCTGAGAAGAATTCAGTAGACAAAGATCTTTTCTGTATTGTTCCCCAAGAGAAGGCACGGAACCCAATAATAGGGCAGCTACAGCCATTAGAGGACAAAACACTTGGATGCAGTTGGTGCTATATGCTTAATTGCTCGATATTTCCCAATTCAGCTAAAATTTTGAGAATTATTTTTGAGTAACCAGTCTGCCCCCATTCGTCCCATGGCAGCTGTGCATAAAGAAAGACAGGAGGAGAAAGCTTCTGTGTGTCTTGTGAGGTGCTTAATCCTCTTGAGGATGCTTTCAAGACAAGGAACAGCATTCGGACCAGACTGAATGGTTAGATTTATCTGGAGTAGACCCAATGGCTCAGCAGGACTTGCAGATATTTTATCAAAGTCCCATTGATTCCATGGCTTTATTCTGGCTGGTAATAACAACTGGATTTAGTCCTTTCTGCATACTAGCAAGTGAGAATCTCAGCAGGAAAAAATGGATCATGGAGTAAGGGGGACATATTAACTGTATGGGTGCATCTAAGGACTGCCACTACTTTGCCAGCAATAGGCTAATGTGCTCCTCTTTAATCAAACCTTGGGGAGCCTTTGTGAGCCATGGGAGCAGAATTCTGAATGAAAGGCAGCCTTCTGCAACTATCAGTCTCCAGCTGATGACAAACGATCAATACTGATTCCTGATTGCTGCAATGGGGAGTGGAAGGGAAAGAAAGGGGCCAAGCCCAGCTCTGCAGGGTTGGACAGACTCCTATAGCTCCTGTCTGACTGGATTTGCATACACAGCTGTCTCATGCCCTCCCCTCAGGAATAACAAAGCTGTCTCTGTGCCACCAGGTTGGAATGGCTTCCTGTGGTGCCAAACATCCCTTGAATGCAAAGAAAGCAGTGTTTAATATTAATTCTAGACAATGAGCAGAAATGTCTAGCAAGATAAACGATAAAGCTTTTGTTTCCTGGTGGAAAAAAAATATGATACCTCCCCAAATCATGCATTTATTAACACTTTTAATGGGTATGGGTATGTTTAACAAGGCAGTCTTTTGAAAACTTGTCTCTCCCTCTTTGAATATTCTATTTTCCTTTTTTTTTTTTTTGCAAAAAGAGAAAATATATATTTTTTCTTTTAAAAAGCCCCTGCAAGGTTATGTGACACCCCTAGCCTGCCCATTTGTCCATTCCTCTTCCATGCTTCTCACCGCGCCCTTTACTGCAAGATCAGTTTTCTCTACCAGGAAGACAGATGATGATGATGATGATGATGATGATGTAGTATAGAATTGGGGGGGGGGAGTGAGGCAATGAAAAAGGAAGTAAGCGAAAGGATAGGTGAAAGGAGATGCCAGCCCTTGTACCGAACAAGTAATAAATTACGGAACAGAGGAACTTGAGGAAAGGGGGGAAAGGAACGTCTTGATCGGAGTCCAAAAGCATCTTCCTTTCCCCGCCCTGACCTGCAGTCTAGACTGCCTGGGCGCACTTCCCAGCACCGCAATGAACCTCTCCTTAAATGCAGGAGGAGAGAGGGAAGGAGAGAGGGAGGGGGAACGCAGCACCCAGGGGTGTGGCCGCGCGCCGCTGTGGGGGTGGGGGGTGTTCAGTCTGCGGGTGGCTGGGGAGAGAGGCCGAGGAGGCTTTTTTTTTTTTTTGCTCTAGCGAGACAAAATAAAAACAACGTCTCTCTAAGCATGAAAGAGCGGCTGGAGAAAACGGGTGGGGCCATGATGGCGGTGGGAAGAGGAAGGCAGCGGAGGGAGGGGGGGAAGAGAGAAGAGAAGGTGTAGGATCCAGTGACCTACTTTTGGGTCCATTGGGGCTGCAGCTGAGAAAAAAAAAATCCAGGGGAGGAGAAAAGGGGCTGCAGCGGCTCTCCCAGCAGCCCCACCATCAGCGCCGCAGGATTTGTACTCGTTTTGAGAGCAGGGGGGCGGCGTTCTCGGGGATGCCCCAGCAGAGAGCGCCTTTCGTGCCTCTTCTGGACTCAGCTGCGCGGTGGGTGGCTGGCTGGGTGGGTGGAAAGAGGGCGGACACGAGATTCCCCACTGCCCGTGTGCGGCGGCGGCGGCGGCGGCCGGGGTGGGGCCGGTCTGCATTGTGCAGTAAATATAGTGGAGGAGATTCTAATATAGATTTTAAAAATAGAAGTGGAAGCTACTTGTTAGTCTACTGTTAAGCTCTAACAGTGAACAGAAAGAGGCCTATTGAATCAGAGGAGATTTAGTGAGAACTAATGAAGGGGTTCCCCTTCACAGATTGCTGCCTTGTTGTGGCAAAGGGGCTTGAGTAATTCAGAAAAGCTATGGGCTATGCCGTGCAGGGACACCCAAAACAGACAGGTTATAGTGGAGAGTTCAGACTAAACGCAATCCACCTGGAGCAGGAACTGGCATGCCACTCTAGTATCCTTGCCAAGAAAAGTCCATGGACAGAAACAAAAGGCAAAAAGAACTGACGCTGGAAGATGAGCCCCTCAGGTCAGAAGGCGTCTAACATGCCACTGAGGAAGAGCAGACCCCCCCAGTGATCAGCAAGATGTGAAATGGCAGAGGAAAACAATTCGGCATAAACAAACCCTCGAATCGCCTAAAAAAATTTTTTTTTGGCACACGCCGACCTCTCTCTCACACAGCGGTCTTCCAGAATAGGAAGCTTGGGTGTACGCGATCCGTTTAGGAGAAACACTAGACTACAAAATTTTAATCGGGTTAAATTATTCGGTCTAAACTGAAAAACTGGGGGATCAGGCTCGAAAGTACCCCAGAGAAAAATCTGAAACCTACATCCCATTCCTACACCTTCTAAGGAGCCTTCGCCTCCCAGTACAGGTAACATTAGCAACATTAAGGATGCTGTGAGTCTTAATCGTGATCCTGATCATCCTCAGACATCTCTTTTTGGTTCTACAAAGGCGAATGCAGCATCAAGGACAACGCCTGGGAAAGCCGGGCTTGCGGTCCAGAAGGAAAAAAAAAAAAGAGAGAGAGAAGACAAGTTTCTCTTACCCATTGCAGTTTTAGCCATGGTGGAGAGGACACAGATGCGCGGAGGTTGCGAAGGCAAAGAGGTCCAGCCACAGCAGTGGAGAAGGGGAATGAGAGAGCGCGAGCGAGAGACGACTAAGGCACTGAGTCAGCAGAGTGGGGCTGTGCAAAAGAAGGAGCCAGAGGCAGGAGCCCATGAATAATGATCACTCCTCAGTCCAAGCAGATTGGCTCGAGAGGTCCCCTGACATGTCTCCTGCCGAGCTAGAAGCTCCAGGCATTAAATATTGAGCTGCCAATGGTGCGGGAGGACAAGGTGCCAGAATGCAGTTTGACACGGAAAACGGCCCTTGGCTGTCGTTCCCCCCCTTTTCTTTTCCTCCGAGTAGTACATTCCATGTCAAAGGCTTAATGTCTTACAGGAACAGCCTATTGGTCTTGAATGCTGTGGCTGTTGCTATCTGTAAAACATGCAGTTCAGCCTATTTTGTGGCAGTAATAGGACAAGGCAGGGGAGAAAACGCAAAATGTTTTTCTCTTTTCTTTTCTTTTTAAATCGACTTCAAATCACAACTGATTTTGCATCCATGCATGGAGCTTATATATTTGTGGCTGCAGATCTATGCTTAGCTGTGTTCAAGGCCTGTGGAACACAGTGGGACTTACTTTTGTGTAAAGACGTATGGGGTTGCATTTTGTGTATGGACACAGCAATTTACTGCTCTTTTGTTCTCTTTCTCAAACTCATCTCCAGTAAGGGCCGTGTCATAAAAAATGGCAGGTGGATTAACACTGTAGAAAACAGAGACGGGGGATCATCACAGACTATCTCTTAAACTAGGAAGGGGCCTGTTGTTGTTGTTTTTTTGAAAAACAAATCATAGACTAAGGAAATATGAACAATCCCACTAAGGGTAATCTCTGTGGTTTCACTTATGTATGTACAGTATCTGAAATTTAACAAAGAATAGAGAAAATCTCTTGAATACTCAGCATAGGTCAATATGAGACAGACATTTTTAAAATCCTTTTGTGCAGAACAATAAAAATGAAAGGAAAAAAAACCCACCTTTGTTGTGATGCAAATCCATGGATGGAAAGATTAACATTGTCTTGAATTAGCATATCCCAAATTTAATGCAGAAGACTATCTAAGAGCAATGGTGTATCTAGGAGACCTCTTAAAGTGCAAGGAAGAAAACATCTTAACCTTAGACCAACTTTCCTACCAAACACCATGTCTGTTTTCTTAACTACATATTAACCCTCATGTTAATCCTCATATTGTCTGGAATGATGGGTGGTGTTTTTACATCTAAATCCTACATTGACTTAAGCAGTGATTGAGAGCTTCCACGCATTACTTGGAGATGGAAATGAAAGTCTGAACGTAACTGGGTGTCATCAGTGCATCAGTTTCAACGAGGATGAGTTTGTTGTGTTAGTCTGTTGCAGCAAATACAATATTGTCTTGTGGAAAGTATTATTTAACACATTTTAATTGGTGTAAACTTTTGTGCACTTCAGATGTTATTGCTTCAGGTATTTATGTTCCACTATTCAAGGCAAAAGGCCTTCACAAAGCAGTTTACAATCTAGATTGTGATTCAGATGATGATGATTTTAACAGTACTGGGTCATCTTTGCATAGACATGAAGATTGGTCATTCACATCTTGTTATAGAAGGCAGGAGTTTATGACAAGCCAGCTAAGTTCTTCTTGGAGGACATAAAAACCTACACTCAAAAGCTGCATGATCCAACTCATCCTACTAGTTTCTGTGTACTGTATAAGCTTGTGCTTGTTGCCATTGGTATAAAGGAAGAACATTATACAAGTTAGTTAGATCTTTCATGTCTAGAGTTACAGAGTGTCTTTAAGTACCATCAATTCAGCAAGTTCTGATCAGGTTTTTTTTTAGCAATATGGGGATAATACCTACTTACCAGGATAAGATGACAGCATCACTTCAATTTGTACATTGAAACCAGCTGGACTGTGAGTTGGAACAACTACCATGATGACAATTAGACAGCATCTTTTATTGCATTTTGGGATTATGACATAGGCCACATATTATCATTTGCTCTGTCTTCCAGCCCCCAGTGTGGCTGCCTCATTCTTCCTAATGATAGGGGCAGTTCTTTACCCCAACCACATTGAACCTGGGATTGGCAATTCTGGGGATGCTTCTGGAATAAAACCAGACATAGATTATAGATACTTTTGTCTGGGGAAATTCCTTTTAATTTAAAGAGGATAGAAATGAATTGGAAGAAGAAGAGTCTTCTCTTTAGTTCAAGCATCGGGGATCAGAAGAAGATACATCTATTGCAATGGATAGACTCTTGGGCCATGATGAAGGAGACAGCTTTCACCCTAGTGATGAACTGTTACCATTCTGACAGGGCCACTCTAGGTTCCTTATATCTAAATATTATCACCAAAAGACTATTGAAGATTTATAATATGTAAGCGAAATCATGTAAGAGGCAAATTGTCACTAATTAACTAGGTTCTGGTTTCATTCTGGTCACTTGCCCATTGCACAACTAGGTAAACAACTATCACCTTGCTAATAAGCAGCAATTCACTGTTGCAAGTTATGCAATTTCACTAACTTATGCATAAAGCCTAAATAGGATCCCTAATCGTATGGATCAGGAATTAATATATGAGATACTGCAGGTTTGGATAGGGCCAATGGCTGAATTTTGGGATCGATAGAGACAAAGGTTGCTGGTGAGATGCAAAATCCTGGGGTGGGGACACAGGTTGAAATGACTTGGTATTTGCGTTACTGGTGGTGTGTGTGTGGCGGGAGAGGCTCGTGCGTCAGTGACTGAAAAAGGAGGGTAAGAACCTTAAACACTGTAATTCTGTTGGACGCTCATCAAAATCCTACCTCAGGAAATATTTAAATAGAAATCAAGTGACAGTGCAGATACAGAACAGAGTCATAGCTATTAGTTTGCACATTACACGTGGTCTCTGTCCTGGACTTAGATGCTCCGCAAGCTGGAGCTATGTTGCTATCCTTGGTCCTGAAATGCTCTGCTGACTTGCAAGCCATTACGCTGCAGCTCGAACCACTTAACTGAATTGTTCCGGTCATCCGACAGCTTGCCTCACCTCAGTAGTGACTGAAATCGGGAAGACATTGGTGAATCAGATTTTTGCTGAGGAAGAAACTGCATGTGTGGGTGTTTCCCTTCTATTGTTTATCCTGCTTCCCAAAATAAGATTTTGCTGTCTTCTCTCAGCACCTTGCCTCATTTCAGAGCATGTGTGAAGCTAGCGAGCTCAAAGCCCTGCCATCTGTTGGCCTGACCAAACAGCATGGAAGATTAATTTATTTCCCAGACTCAGGAATAGCAAATGGATGGGTTGTATGGGGTACAGACTGGGTGTAGAGGGGATGGACTCCAGTATCCTCAGGTGGCACCTTTCCACCTCTATTCAGATGGACAGAAAGGTAATCTTTGGTTTTAAAAAGGAGATTTTCCGGCAAAATATCTGAGAAGCCAAGCTCCATACAACAGGCCAGTGAAAACAGACTGTCCAATACAAGTGCCTATATATGGCTGTGTTTCTGTGTCTGCATCCAGGTGTGTTTTCCTTAGGAAGAGGGAGAAAATATGTCCTTAGAAAGTGCATAGTTAAATTGTGGAATTTGCTACTGTAAGATGTAGGGGTAGTCGCCTACTTAGAGAGCTCTAAATATAGAATACGCACATTCGTGAAGAATAATGATATTAATGGGTTTTATTCATAAGGGCTGTACATTAGCTTCCATATTAGAGGTAATATGCTTCTGAATATCAGTTACTGTACTTCTCAAATACATCAGATTGACAATGAGAATGGAACAGTATGTCCTCCATCTAATCCAATGTTAGCAATAACAAGAAACAACTGCTTTATATTAGTTCTTTCTTGTTCAGTTCCTCATCATGGTTCCTGAAATCAAGAACTTTGGAATCCATTTGTCCAGTTACTAAAGAGGCATGGGGCGGAGGGAATAATATTGTATTCAATACTTCAATATGGAAATTTGTTGTTAACCCAACCTGTCCATTTGGTTGAGTTGAGTTTGGAGTGACCATCATCTGCTAAAACTGAAATATGAAGAAATGGAGTTGGAATGAATGAATCTGTTAACTGTACAAGAATTAATAACTGCTTGTAAAAAGCTCTACTGTCTTTCACCCCTTCCTCTCCATTGTCCCTTTTCCTCATTTGCAAGTGACATATTTCAAAAGGAGAACCAGCTGTGTCTGTGGAAGCACAAGACTCAAGCCAGGAAGTAGGAAAAGTTGAGTTCAGGCTCATGTATAGATGCAACCGGCTCACCTCTTCAAACACATTGCTTTGATATGAAGCAGCAATGGAGGGGTGTGGAGATTGGAGTGCTTCTCACTTTACATATAAGCATTCACAGGAAGATAACTCTTGAGAAGTACTCAAGGGTCCATGTAATCAAGCATTCTGTCTATAGTGGTGGCCAACTATATACAACAAAGCAGAGGGAACTGGTACATCCACTGGTGGCAAAAGTATAGGCTTGATGCATTTCAGTGGTGGCAAACAAAAATGTTGGCAATGCAGATTTTATTCTCATCTAAAAAGACTTGGGCTTGATGCATTTCAGTGGTGGCCTTCTTCAGGGGCAAACTTTTAGAACTTTTGCTTCTAGTTTCGTCTGTACCAGCTCTAACATTAATCCAGCATGCAAATACTATCCCTTATCTAAAAAGCCTGAGCTTTTAAGATAAGAATAAAATCTGCATTGCCAACATTTTTATACATCTTGAGATTCAGTATCTTGTACTTTTGTATCCAGCTATATACACAATGGGAAGCTAGCAGACTGCCATGTCTTGTTTGGTCCAGAAAACTGGGACAGTTATACTATTTCTAATCACAGAAGGCAGCTTCAATTTGCCATTGGTAGATCCATGCATTCACAAATCATTTTTATTTTTTGAAAGTTCACCTACAGTACTGGTCATCCATGTTAAGATCACAAACAAATCTGTGTTAATTGTGCATTTCATGAATAAGCATGTTTGAGTGCCTCTGTTGAATTTACTGAGGATAATCTTTATTAAAAATATTAAGAATAAGTATATTCTTATTAAGAATAAATATGCAATAATATCTGAATATGGACAGATGAATGTTATAAGAGCATTGTATCTGTAAATTTTAAGTGCCATCTTGGAAGAATGCATAACACCCCAGAGTCAGCTTCTTTGTTCTGTGGGACACCCATGAAAAGAATGGAAGAAGCAACTTGAGCCAAAAGGGGATTAGGAGGAATTTTGCTCATGGTGGCTTGCTGTGTATAT